AAATGAACAGTTTTCAATAAGAACAGTTGAATATGTTGAATACAATGTTCCATAATAAGATTTTTTGTGTTCATTATTCAAAACATTACAAAAAATTAAATTAAAGTTACGACGACGATTTAATCCTAAAATTACATAATTTGATGTTGTGTTACAAAATGATGAATATGTTACGTTACATAGACTTACACTCGGTGACAGATATATTCCTGAGTTATCATTTGCTTCACATAAACTTGTGTTAATTGATTTAACTTCAATATTTCCACTAAAAAATTATTTGTACTATCTTCTTCTAAATTTCCGCATTCATAAAAAGAACTTTCGTAAAGATAATTTTTATAATTTTCACTAATATGTAAGTTAACATATGAATGATGTCCAAGATTATAGTTTGTTTTTGATTTGTAACCACATGTTCGGTATTGGACAATGGAACTGAAACAACTAAAGTAGATAGATCCACCATCTGTATCACTACTGCAGCTATTAAATGAACAATCAGAGCTAAGAAACTTATTGTTGTCATTCGTAAAATAAATAGCACTTTTAGTTGTAATATCAATGAATATACAGTTGTATAAGAAACATTTATTTTCTTTTGACATTACCTCAACATTTTTACCTGAAATAACATCTGAATTTGGAGGATTTCCGTAAAAGCGTTCCCAAATTTCATCTGAAGCTTGATCAGAGTGTAAATTCTTTATATTTGAAAAGGGATTTGGTTCTATTGTCAGTAAATTCTTTAAAGAGTGGGGAACAAAAGTACCCATGGGTTAAAGTTGTTTCGATCCAACATACAGTATCATAGTTATACTGAAGCAACAACATGTCCTCACATAAACAAATAATTCCTTCACTCATAATTACTGATTTTAAATCTTATTTTAAGTTCAAATTTCAAAACGTACTATTTACTTACAGTATCATAGTTATACTGAAGCAACAACATGTCCTCACATAAACAAATAATTCCTTCACTCATAATTACTGATTTTAAATCTTATTTTAAGTTCAAATTTCAAAACGTACTATTTACTTACAGTATCATAGTTATACTGAAGTAATAAAGTATTGCGCGAAATGTTGATAAGTTTCAAAAACAATTTGTAGTATGTTCAAGTATATTAGAGTTTAATAATATGTGATAACATCGACTGCAAACAATCGATATCAATATTTAAAATTTTCGAGGTTTTTTTGACTGATAGCAATTGCTTTGGACACCTAGAATGAAGTTCTCCTTGGTAAGTTTCTCCAAATTTTTTCCATTTTAGAAAAGGCCTATGCAATTTTCTAGAAAATGATAACGTTTTTTTCAATTCTCGATTTTTTTTTTGGAAAAATGAGGTTAATTTTTTTGAAAATTTATAATTTAGAGAGAAATAAACCATTTTCATTGTCTTACAAATCGATAAAACCTTTTTATTTTTGTTATTCTATAATATTTCTACTAAAATATATCACTTATACAGCAAAATCATATAACTATTTTTCAAAGATATAGAAAAGAAGAATATATTCCTAAATTATAAATCAGTCATAGTTTACTATCAAAGAGCCAGAGAACCACATCTGCATTAACTTGTGCTGAAGTTTTTTGGATTTCCTTTCTCATTTGAGGAAAATCCAGATAACTTCAGCACAAACGAATTACAGACATATTCTCTCGCTCTTTGTGGGCCAAGTACCACAACTACATTACACTAGGGCAGAGTTCTTCCGAGGCCTCTCATCATATGAGAGACTTCGGAAGAACTCTGCCCTATTCGATTAATTACAGAATCCTAGACCTTTTGGGACCAGGAAAGAGTAGTAAGAGTACTTTAAGGCAATGCTCATTACGAAGTCTCTCATCGAATGAGAGATTTCGTAATGAACATTGTCCATTTCAAGCAAATTTACTCCCCTAACACTCGGTGGTTAAGGAAGTAGTACTACAGTCAACGAGGGCAATAACGTATAACTAATATCGACAGAAGCACAGCAACTACGCAGCCTAGCTACGCTATCCTAGCATCTAGGCTGCATAGTTATTGTGCTTCTGGCTTGCGAAACCCTCATGGAAGACCGATTGGAGATCTCCCGCCGAAATCACTTGCTGATATGGATGGAACAGCACTATGATTGGCCAGATCAAAGGCTGAGTAGCATCCCAGCAAGTGGATAGTCGGCGGTGACTCCAAAAAAAAAAAAACCGAACCCAGTTTAAACTAAGTCGCCAAATCTTTACCAATTTTGATTGAGACGAATAGACCAAAAATCTAAGGTTATTTTTCAAAAAAATTTTAAGCCATTTACCAACTACTCTCCAAAAATCCACCCCATAAGGTGAGGGTTGGGTAGGAACATAAATTCTACAGTTTCGTGAAAAAGGTGTCGAAGACAAGAAAAAGCTGTCGAAGTTTCAATAAATGATATATTAATGATAAACACCATGATCATAATCTATTTAGTATGAAATGAAACAAATTTAATCACATTTGAGAAATCAAAATTTTATTCTTTCAATTCATTCTCCTTTATAAGAATATATTAAAAGTTGTGCAATAAGACCGTGAGCAATGCTTTCAATTTTTACTTCCTCCTTTTTAATTTTTTACTTCCTCTTTCACCTCTCAATTTTACTTCCCCATTTCATTTTTCATGTTGTTCGGAGATGAGGGTGCCTGATCATGATCAGAGAAGAACCATATGAAGAGAAAGCATCAACGCAAGATGGATTTCCATCTCGGACTACTCTTGTTGATTTAATTGAAATTATTGCGAATTTTCATCAAAGCGGGGATATTATTAATAATTAACTATCTTCTCAAATGTGCATTGTAATGATACCATTTTCACTGCCTATAATCTGAAGAATTTCTGATATTTCTTGAAAATTCTTCGAATTTTCAAGAAATCTGCATGAAACGGGACATCATTAAATATATATGCATAGATTTGATAGGAAACAAAATTGTAGGCTGGGAACGCATTCAGATATTTGATCAATTGTTAGGAATCAGATTTCAGGTTGAAATCAAAGGTAGACCAGCAAAATTTTTACCAATAATTTTTGATTTTGGCTATGGATACTTACTATATAGGGGATGGATATTTGATGTGCGAAGTATCGCATGAAAGTTATCGGGCCGATTTTGAGATATTATTATTAAAAATTATATTCAATGTCTTGCTCACTAAATATATTCTTTTGAGATGTGAAATGTGTTCACGGTTTAAATTTTGAATATTACAAATTTTTCAGAAAATTTAGTATATATTCTTTAATTGTCATTAGATAACATGAATATTTTGGTACATCACACGCAAGTTAGAGTTTGTGTAGTTGTGTGTTTCTTCACAACTGTAAAAAATATCATAATTCGTAACTTTGGAAATATGATTGAGTTGATTTTTGATTATTCTAATAATATTGTTGAAATCATTTGAGAACTTCTTACATTAACTAAATAATGAATGGTACCCACCGAACTGAAAAGTGGAGAAATAAAAATTAAATTTCTCAAAAATATTGTAATAAACAGAAATTCATCAAAAGTGACAGCTCTCAATTTTTTGACATTTGTAAATTCTAAATTAAATGAGAAAAATGAAATAATACTAAGCATAATACAATATTCTAGATTTAATTATAATTAGGAAAAAGTTAGTTTTGAGAGTACTTTTCATAGGCATATAGAATGAAATCTTCTGAAAAATAATATCACATAAACTCATATTATTTTCTAATATATAACTATTTTATATAAAAATCAAATTCAATGATCTTAAAAGCGAAGGATAAACCTCAAAATTTACGAATATAATGAGTGGGAATATAATGCTTATCTATCATAAAACCATATGAAATATCAATTTTTGCTTTACGCCTAATTTTTGACGACAATTAGCAAAAAATGTTAAAATGTTAACACTCAGTCCATTTGAATATGAAAAATAAAATTGACTTTGATTAAATGTTTTATTTATCATGCATTCTTCTTGCGACAAAGATTTGAATAAAAGTTCAAAAAAATAAGATAGCTTAAAAAAATATACGGTAGTGTTTACTAATAGATGAATAGTATATAAATTCTATTAAAATGGATTTGATCCAAAAAATATATAAAATTTGATCATAAATAAAACGTTTTAAATTACTTCTTCATTTAAATTATAACAATTATTTTTGGTTTTATATTTTTTTGGATCAAATCCATTTTAATAGAATTATATACTATTCATCTATTAGTAAACACTACCGTATATTATTTTTAAGCTATCTTATTTTTTGAACTTTTATTCAAATCTTTGGTCGCAAGAAGAATTGCATGATAAATAAAAACATTTAATCAAAGTCAATTTTATTTTTCATATTCAAATGGACTGAGTGTTAACATTTAACATTTTTTGCTAATTGTCGTCAAAAATTAGGCGTAAAGCAAAAATTGATATTTCATATGGTTTTATGATAGATAAGCATTATATTCCCACTCATTATATTCGTAAATTTTGAGGTTTATCCTTCGCTTTTAAGATCATTGAATTTGATTTTTATATAAAATAGTTATATATTAGAAAATAATATGAGTTTATGTGATATTATTTTTCAGAAGATTTTGTGTTCTTCTTCAAAATTTTATTTTTTATTAAAAAGAATCTTTACAAAATATACATTTACTTTAATTAATATTTAAAAACGTGCTCTATCAAAAGTTCCAAAAATTCAATATTTTAGCTTTTCTGAGGTGTCACTTTTGATGAATTTCTGTTTACAACAATATAAGATTCCTTGTTATTGGAAATTGTTTATTCATCATGTTTTTAGCATTTGTGACGTTTACAAAACTGACCAAACATAGGAAATAAAAGTGACATCAATCAAAATCAGGCATTTTGATATGACCTTCGATAAACAGTTAGAATATTTCACTAATTTCTCTGAATTTTGACGAAGGTTCTGAAATTTCAATTGGCAAAAACGATGGTTTTTAACACATTTTTTATCAACAATGGGAAATGACCATCAAAGCCATTATTATGCACGCTTCGGGAATGAGGAAATGAAAGGGGAGTTATCTTCACCATTCGTCCAATATGAACAGAAATGCAACAACAAGCTTCTAAAAATGTCGTTTTATGGTCTATGGTCGGTTTACCAGCCGTACGGAGTAACTCCCACTCCCAGAGTTGGTCATTTCCATTCCTATGATCCAGATCGCGCTTTAGTTTACGTTGGCTATGGATGCCAAGAAGGATGCAAACTCCAAAACGATGTTTGGGCTCTAGAAACTACTACCCAGAAATGGCATCATATTGAAGTGAAAGGCTATCACGCATCACCACGAACTGGCTGCAGTGGTGTATTTTGGAGAGGCCATATTTTGGTGTATGGCGGTTACACAGAAGAAGAGTATGTTGGCGATTTACATGCAATTTCTTGTGAAGATGGAAATTGTGAACAACTACATACTACAGGAGAAGTCCCTCCACCAAGACAATACCCAATTTTGGGTGTATACGAAAACAGATTTTATGTCTGGGGTGGATATAATGGTACATATCCCTCAGATCTTTATGTTCTCGACCTTGATACATTGGTCTGGAAATCCTATAAGACAAATATTCAAGGAAGATCATCAGCTCCATATACAGTCGTCGGAAGCGACATTTATAGCTATGGAGGCTCTAAAACCGCAACAATGCTACACATTGACATGACTACAAACACAGTAGAAGAGATTTCAGGTGGTGGATCTCCACCACAGCCAGATTCAGTAAACGCAGGAATGGCTGCAACACCAGATACAATTTATTGGTTCGGAGCTATTCCTAATGCAGAGTTTGGTTTCGTTTATGCTTACGATATATCTAGAAAATGGTGGTTTATCTTCCATGTTCGTCCTGATGGAGATACAGTCGGAATGGCTGATGGAAGAGTTGACAGTTTCGGATTGTTCCAACTACCTCTTATTCAATACCATACAATGCAATACGAGTCAAGAACAAGAACAGTTCTTTGCGTTCTTGGAACTCCTCTGAAAAATCCACCTCCAACAGTTGCTGTCCAACTCGGAGATGCAATTCCTGCAATTCATCTTCGTCAAGATATGCTTGATGCTTTGCCTCATGTTAGTGAGGCATAAAATATTATATTATTTATTAGTGAATAAATAACAATGTTTATGTTCAATATAAATCTTACATCTTTTGATTTGAATTGTTGCCTAATGAACTATATTATATCAAACAAATTAATTAAAAAATGATGCTAATACCATTAGTTAATAGACTTACTAATCATTTTTCGCCTCCAGTATGGATAAATATTATGCTAAATTTGGAATTCATTGCTATTACAAAGTAATTGTTCCATATTCAGCAAAGGTTTTGAAAATCAGAGATATATTACTGAAATAACTATAAGACTACTTGAGAACATGGGGATATGAAAGAGTTATGACTAAATTTATAATAGATATTGACCTTTATCACTCCAAAAATTCGATAAAAAGGAATAAAAAAGTGACAAATTCCAAAATTAGAAATGAATTGTATTTTGAATCGAATATGGTCAATACTTCCTATTATTATGTCCATTATTACTATAATAGTTCTATACAGATTATCAGAGCCATCAACAGAACATGCATTACGTTCTAACATTTTTATCAATATAGCAACGGGAAATGTTATCTTTACAATTATATTATGGGTTTACTTATACATCAAAACGCGTGATCTTGAAAAAACAATTGGCCTTACTCGCGATAGATGGCATACAATTTATCCTAAAACAGTAATTACAATTGTCTTCTCAATATTCTGCTCATACACACTTATGTGCATTGGAGCATATTATGGATATTCTATGTCTGGAGTTATTATCGTTACTTTAATCTATATTTTGGTTTATCAAACCATCAAACAAGCTCTTTAACAAGGATTTATCATGCATTTATACATGTCTTACTGTAATTATACTTTTTTTTTGTTATGAATAAATATTTTCTTATAAAATCTTTTTCTCGGAAGTTGAAATAATGACTAACAACACCATAAATATTTACAAATCGTATAATTAACAAATCTAAATATATAATTATTTTTTTGTTATTTGCTAAGTTGAACATAAGCAAATTTGGAATCAAAGTATGTTTTAAGGAGAATGGCAAGCGTTGCGAGGAATGTCAAACATCCAAATGCAATCTTTCTGACAAGAGCCCTTCTTTCAAATAAAGTTTCAGGGAAAATCAGGGAAACATCAAGTCCTTCATCACTTTCGGTCAAATAAGGGTATTTGGCCGGTAAAGCAGGCATTGGTCGTTCATATGTGAACTGCAAATTCGGATGAACAGTTGCTGTTGGAGGAAATCCATGTCTTTTGAGATTATACGTGAAATTAATTGAATTTAAGGCTTCCTGAGCAACATTGGCCCATGCATTTGAATATGGACCAATATTATTTTTCCAAGGCTTGAAAAGAGATGGATAATGGAAAGAAACAACACGAGGATCTGGCGTTTCAGTGTTGTTATAGCCTAATATTGACTGTGGATTGCCAGGAACTTCTAATTGGTACCATTGTGGAGCAACTGTGATATTTCCATCAAAATATTGAGAAATAAGACCTTGATCATGAGGTCCTGTCCACGATGCTCCCTGCTTTTGAAGCTTAAAACCGTATTCATCTGGATTTCGACTCCAATTCATGCCTAGAAGCTTCATTCCGGCAAAATCACGTAGTGATGGTTTGAACATAATGAAATCTCCATTAGTTACTGGCCCTAAATGAGAAAATCCGTAAACGAAATGATCAATTATTGATGTAGGAGCGGGATATTTAAATATTGTTGATGGATCTCTTCTGAATATGACATCTGTACCTGTCCAAAGAAGTTTTTCCCATCCAGTAACACTCCAAGCGTTTAATTTAAACCAAAATGCTGTATCTCTTTGTGTTTTATCTTTGTATCCATCCGGCCATTTAATATAGGGGCGTCTGACTATATGTGTCCAAATGCTTTTTAGTATTTTTAATTTTGATTTTGGAATATCCATTGTTGTAGGAATTAAAAGTACTCTATCATAATTCGGACTAACTTTCATTAATGAATAGCCACAAGTAATTGCAAGAATTAAGAAATGTTCTTCTGAATCATCACATGTGTAACCTGAAATAAATGCATATCGAGATCTAGGCGGAGGATCATCAAAAAAGGTAGTAATGTCTTCCATTTCTGTGAGATTCTTTTCAGGATATATAGGAAGCTTAAAATTAAATTTAAAGAATAATAAACTCAACAACATGATAAAATTCTTGCAAAAATTTGTAAATTATTGAAATATAAAATTGCCATTTCATCATGGAATACAAATCTATGTCCAACAATGATAATAAATCGTTAAATTTTACTCAAGATTGACTAAAATCATGTTTCATTCGAGTAGCTTTTCTCATATTTATATTATACTTCATTTATACAAATAAAGTCAAATCTATTCTAGCCATGAGAAGGATAATTATTGAGATTTTATGATTAGCAATCTCTATCCTCTCAATCAAAATGTGGAAAAATTGAATATTTCACTCACCTACAAAGAGGATAGTATTGGTGAAGTATTCTTTTAAAAAATGTAAAAGTCATAATTTTTTTGAATGAGAATGGTTTATTAAAAGTAATAAAAATAGGTATTATTAAAGCAAGATATTTACTAAGTTCATAATATCTATTTACTCATCCTCTTCCTCGGACTTATTCTGTCCAGCCTTAGCATAGCGAGCGTTGCGGAGGAACTTAGCATTCATGCCTTTCTCGAACCAGAGTTTCTTGACAACGCACTTATGGATACCATTGCGGTGGTGCTGGTGAGATCTGTTGTGAGCTGAAGTGTTAGAGCGCTTGGCCATTCGAAAAGGTCGACGATAAAAACGGTTTCATTGATTGACGCATGAGACCTAAAATCATTTATGCTTGGTTTGCATACGAAAATAGACAGCTTATAGAAACCACATATAAAATCATAAGGTATTACAAAACCATTAGCAAAAGAAATTTTCTTCGTTATTAAAAGTTTTCTTTTTCCATGAGCACTTTATACTTAAATTGTATTTCAGGAATGAACTATTATCAGCTTGTTCTTTCATTTGATTAGAGGATATTCTTTCGAAAACTATTGATCAGAGAGAAAAAAAATCGAAATTTAACAACAATAGGCTATGAGTAGTTTATATATCCTAAATCAAAAAATGATAAAAAAGTTTTTTTTAATATTTTTTTTGTAAAAATAAGCTTATTTCTGGTTTGGATTGACAAATTACAGAAATAAAAAGAAAAATATATTTGTATTTTATCATAAAATCGATTATAATAATTAATTCCAAAATTCAAGGTTTTCAAAATCTAATTCCGTTGTAAACCTAAAATTTCCGTTGATAAAAAAAATGTCGAGTGCTAGATTTACCCACCCTCGACGCAGAAAGATAGAATCTTCAAGCAGTGGTCGCGAAAACACCAAACTAACACCACAAGAGCAAAGTAGTTCTGCATATAGACTTTCAAAAGCAAATTCTAAATATAATCAAAGCAAAACAATCGAACAAGGACTCTATAAGACATACATGGAAGCATATTACAAAAACCATCCAAATGAGCAAATAGATAAACGTCCAGTCAAAGAAAAATTCAAAGATTTACAAAAGCAGTTTCAAAACACAAATCTTGACGAAAACCAAAGGCTCAATCTCTTAGTTCAGGAAAAAGCTCTCAATTTAATACAATTTGGCGAAAACTCGCATCAATCTTTTCTCAGTTTTATCAATATCGGCATTTGTTACAACAGATTGAACAAGCCAACAAGTGCAATCAGAAATCTCGAGAAAGCGCATCAACTTGAGAGTGTTGCTAAAGCTACAAAAGGAGAAAAAGAATTAGTTGCTATTGAAACAACTGAAGCACACCTTGTCTTGTTTAGTGATGCAACAAGAGCAAATAAAACTGATGAAGCCAATAAGCAACTTAAAAACGCATTCAATGTCATAAAACCGTTCATGAGCACTGAAATCGAAGAATTAGAACTGGAATTCAGAAAATCATTAGCGATAGCTCATATTTTCAATATCAAACAAATGTTTGTTGAAGCCATTCCTCATTTCGATTCCGGAGTCAACGCTTTTTTCGAACTTTACCCAGATTACTCAGAATCTCATGCCCAACTTGCCATTGAAGCTGCTGAGAATGCGGAGTTCGTTAGAGACACAGATAATAACGCTGTTCACACAAAATTCTATTATTATAAATTAGCTTATGACATTTACAAGAAACTCGGCATGGAAGAAGAAGCAAAAGAAATAGAACCAAAGCTTCCTAAAGAAGGAGAGTACACAGAGACAGAACAATCAGTTCCTCCAACGGATTCACATTATGAAGAGGAAGAAGAGTTTTACGAAGAAGAAACAGGAAAAGAAACAACAACAGAACAATATTATGACACAGAAACATATCAAACACAAGATTATAAATCTTACCAATACAAACCTCCTTCAAATGATGAAGATGATGACAAGAAGAATGAAGAAGAAGAGATGATGAACGAAAATCCTCAAAATGAATCTCAAGAAAGAAAATTAAATGATAAAGAAGAAGAAGAAAATCAAAGTAAAGATGATTTTGAAAAAGATTCATTGCAAGAAAATCCAAAAGTTGAAAAGGAAGAAAGCCAAGAAAATTTTGAGAAGGAATCTAATCAGGAAAGTCCTAAAGTTGAAAAGGAATATTCTAAAGATGATTTTGAAAATGAATCAAATCAAGGAACTCCTAAAGCTGAGAAAGAAGAAAGCCAAGAAGATTTTGAAAAGGAATCAAATGAAAGCAATCATGAAACTCCACAACCTTCTCCTCAAAACAAAGATGAGGAGGAAGAAGATGATTTTGAAGATGATTTTGCTTAATATTTTATTTTTGTAATTATAAATACACGTGTTTTATATTTACTTCATCATATTATATGCTTACACATACAAATCACACATATTTCATTAATCTGCTATCACAAACTCCATATCCAATCCAATTTTTCAATAATATTTTCTCAGTATTTTAGGAAGGGTAATTTATGGAGACTGAAACCATGAAAATGAAATCAAAATAATTATTGAATTTTGAATAATGAGATTATAAATATAGTTTTGACATACAGGATGATGCATATTCTGGCATGATCTTTGAAAGCAAAATTGTTTACATTATGCACAATTGCACTTCACGCCGATGATATCTGAAAATAACGGATGTTTTTTAAAAAGTTATGATTGACGAAGAAGAGTGCATTTACAATTTAATTCCAAAACCACCACCAGAGATTATCAAGGAACCACTCCACAAGAGCAAGTTCCAAGACCAAAAGCAATTCATGACAGCTAAAAAACTCAGCCATGCGACAATGGGTCCACACCCAGATAAAATCAGACAGAGTCCAAAAGATTTCTTAAGGAAAGGTGAGAGAATCTCAAAGAAGGAGCTTCCACCAAAGACTCGTGTTGTTCCAAAAGGAAATGAAGGTTTAAACAACCCACCAGTTCCAAAGGCAAAGGATATTCCTAAATTGAAGGAGCATCTAAAGAAGAATTACATTCTCGAGAACTGGAAACAAGCTCCTAAGACTAAGAAATTACATCCAGAGAAGCAAGAAACATGGTACACAGATAAGCCAGACTACGGTCAAGTTCCAGCTTATATGGACCGTGTCAAGCAAGAAGCTGCTGACGAAGCTGAATATTGGGATAATGTTCGTGAATCAATGGTTCCAGAGGATACAGAGACAAGATGCCGCCTTCTTTCCGAAGAAGAGCGTATCGAAATCCTTAATGGCCTTTACGCAAATCTTGCCGAAAACAAGAAACGTTATGCTTCGTTATCTTTCGGTCAAGATAACCTTTCATTCCGCAGGAAGAAGGAGGAGATGGAACGCGAAGCTGCTCAGCTCGAAGCAGATATCAAAACATTCGAGCGTCCTAATGTTTATATTACTGAGAATTAATCAGCTTTCTATTATTAAAAATGTCATTGAATTATATATATTAATGATAACCTTTTTCATTACCATTAATAATAGATTATTTTAATTATTTTGCGGAATTATTGTGAAATAGAAAAAATTACTAAAATATGAAGTGATAAACATGGAATTTTATATACAATTACATATAACTCTGCTGTCTAAAAAACAAATAATATTAAAATGTTGTCAATTATAAATCTTATTTCGCTTTTTACCATTGCAAATGATAGAGTAGGACACATAAATATCATACTACTAATATTGGAATGAATTATGCATGGGAGAATAAATTTTCTTCGATAATTTAATTTTTTTTCAGAAATTACATTCTGGTATATAATTAGCTCTTGTGTTAATCTACTGAGAGTTCAATTTTTGGAAATTCCCTTCCATTTCTGAAATAATGTATTGAGACATCTCGATTATATCCATTCTGTGCTCGAATGGGTCTAAATCAGCAGTTTCTCTAATCTGATCAAGAATTTCAGAAGAGTTTGCAAAAACTTCGAACAAAGGAGGAATATCAGGTCCATCAACTCTAGCTTGGATGACAATCTTAGACAATGGTCTAAGAAGTATTGATAGTATCTCTTCATCGTTTGTTTCAAAGAAAGGATCGAAAATTTCGAGGTTTTCTTTCTCAATTAGGAAATTAACAAGAGTTGGCTCGTAATCAGTTTCATCAAGCATATCTAATAGTATTTTTAATGATGCTTTTCTCGAAACAAATGGTAGTTCTTCTGATATCTCAAGAATTAAGTCAACTAAACCGTGCTTTTTCAATAATCTACATCCATCATATGTTGTTGTAATAGATACCAAGAAATTCAATAGATTTTGCATGAATTCAAACTCAATATCAGTTAAAAATTCACGGATTTTTGGAACAAAGTCAAAAGGTAGTCTATTCAGATCTCTAGCGTTATTCAATAAGAAAGCAGCCATTGCATCACAATAAAATTGAAAATAATTATTATTTGACACTAAAAGTTTGGAAAATCTTTCTATCATTGACTGATTTATAAATAAATCCCTCATGTTACAGGATATCTTTGATAGATTAGTAATAGAAATTATAGATAATTGATGATATTCTTCAAAATCCAAACAATCGATTATAAATCGATGAAATGGAAACCAATAGTTGTAATAATCTTGTGAAGTCATTTCATTCGGCTTTGATTTTGATAATTGTGAGATAAGGTTAATAAAATCTGAAATTAAAAGATTTTTTTCGGTCAAATGTTCTGTATCATTTTCACTATCCTTTGTGTAGATAATTTCTACATGTTTTGAGAATAAATCATTCAAGTTTTGCGTGTATAAAAAGTTAATTATGTTTGTGTCTGATGCTAGATTCAAAAATAGATGGAAAATATAATGCCCATAAGATATAAAAGCGTTATCATCATGTAAATTATAAAATAGAAGTGAAATAATTCTTTCTTGATTAATTTCATAATTAACAATGAAATTAACAAATAAACTGTTTCCCAATTCTCCATTTAATGATTCAAGAGTTCTAATCTTAACATCTACTTGCGTGGCTTCTAAAAATTCTTTGATTATTGAAGCTAAATAATTTTCATAGTCATAACTATCATCTTCTACGATTTTCCGATCAATCGAAGTACGATTGCTTTCTTCAATCTCTTTATTCTTATATGAATCCATTGCACATTAATATTTAAATTGGGTCCACAAAGTTAAATCCCCTACTTTATTTCAAAAGTTCATTTACGAACCATATTATCGAAGGTTATTATTATTTTGAGAAATAGCTTTGCGTAACAATACTGAATTTGAGTAATCCCTCATAACAATAAAAATCAATGATCAATGAATCATGTGCCGCAACGGTTTTTCAAATAAAAAGGCGATCAGTATGTGTGAATTGATTAAATTAACCTAAATTTTCAAGATCTCAGACTAATTCGAGCGTTTTATGATTAATTTCTTTGATATTTTTGAAATTTGATCGAAAACCTTTCAATTCATTTTGAATACCTCTGAAAAAAAGTAAAAGAATTTCGTGAATCTTCTTAATTGTATTTAGTTAATAGTGTTTTGTGAAAATGAAAAATTTTAACACGTTGGCAATAAATTTATCATGTCGACGCTTGATGTTACAAAACCCACAGGAAGAAAACAGCGCCAGACAATTCTTCTTTCATTAAAGGAATGGCATGCATTTATCACACCACGTACAGCAGTTATCGTACTATATGTAATCGGATTGCTATTTATTGGTCTAGGAACTACATTTTTCATTATTACAGGTAATATGACAGATATAGAAATCAGATATGATCGAGAATGCTACAATAAATCACAGTGTATTGTTTGGTTTAACACAACTTCTGAAATTTCAGGAAAAATATCAATGGAATACAAACTTTACGGATTATATCAGAATCACAGAAGAATCTTCGACTCAAGAAGTTACCCACAAATGCAAGGAAAATTTCTAACATATAGCGAATTAATAGCATGTGACCCAATTATATCTGTGAACAAATCCAAGGAGGTTAAAGACCTATATGCTCCATGTGGTTTGATGTCACTTTCGTTTTTTAACGATACATATATTTGGAATTACGCTGATATCGCTAATTTTACGTCCGATGATATAGCTCTTGCCAGCGATAGAAAAAGATTGTTTAAAGGTCTAAATATCGGTTACAATAAATCAGTTCAGTGGCTGGACAATTATGATGACTTTCCAGGCAATATTACTAACCAGCACTTCATTGTATGGATGAGAGCAGCTGCTATGCCTGTTTTCTTAAAACTTTATTCCAAATGTTATAATTGCACAATTCCTCCAGGAAATTACAGCATTCTTATCAAAAAGAACTATCCAGAGTCTATGTTCGACGGCCAGCGCTCAATTGTTTTCTCAACAACGAGTTCCCTTGGTAGTGGAAGTTATTTCATATCTACAGCATATATGTCAATGGGAGGAGTCAGTTTAGTGTTTGCAACTGCATTTCTCTTCCACATGCTGTTCTGCCCAAGACAGTTCGGAGATCTTAGCCAAATTTGGTCTCCTCAAGCACAGACTCAAGCTCCACTGATGTCAACAACACAAGAGAATTCTAGCGATGAGTCTGATTACCAGAGTTCTGTTCATGATGGAACTCCATATTGAGATTTTAAGATTTTATGTTTTTATTTTGTTTTCATGACATATTATATCACACATACATACTATTGATCCACGAGTAACATTATCAAATATATTTTGTTTTTTTTATTCTTAATAATTTATTGAATAAATATTAGAGTACTTTATTGTTTTTTTAAATTAATATTTTTATGCCTTTTACATCTAAACACACAATATTTATTGATCACTTGCGATTTTTGATGTCAAATGCTTCATAATGAGATCTTCATATTGTTTGTTGAATTAAGAGTTGACAATATTTTAAATCATTTATGTTTATAAAATTCGGTCTCATTGCAAGGAATCAAAACTTCCTTGTAGAAAGCATCGGCAAAAAAGTTGGATATTAAATTTAATCAAGGATTTAAATTAAACAAATAATAAGAAATAGATCAAAAAACAACAAAAATCACGCTGATGGAGGTGGACGATTAAGAAGATTCGAAGGACAGATAACGTATTTACGAACTTTGGGTGTCTGCAGTTCAACTAATAGGTGTGGTAAATCTTCATGTGGTGGTTTTGGCTCAACAGGCTCAGGAGGAGGTAATGGAATTTCGGCTTTCTTTTTCATTGCTTCGGCTCTATTTTTTTCATTCTTTTGCATTCTTCGATATAAGGATAGAAAACGGTTTCTTATTGTGTTTCCAGTTCTTCCTTTCATATTTTTTGCAATACAATTCCATTTGTTTCCGTACAATTCATATTGCTTGAGCAAAAATTCATCTTCTTGAGGTGTCCAAAGGTTGTGCCCAATGTTTGGTCTGAGGTAATTTTGATAACGCTCTCTGCATTGCCTTGGAGTTCTTGTTTCCATGGCATAACTAATTGAGCGCCAGTTTGGGCTTTTCCCGCTTTCTTCTACTAAATGTAGTAACTTGGCATCTTCCAGTTTTGAAAATTTCGAACGCATTTCGCCTTGTTTGCGTACTGGAACTTTTCCATTTGGAAGCTTTCTATCCATTGCAAATTTGAATGTAACTTTTGAAATATTTTACAATCATGATAATAATAATACTGGGAACACTACACATCAAAATTATTCAGATTAAATTCTTATTAAGATAATATTGAGAGGATTGAGGAACAATGAGGACTTTGTAAATAATAATTGAGAAGAAATTTTACGGGCTTATAGTTCACAAAGTTTCCCTATCAAATTCATTATAATACAAAACAATAGTTATGTGAAATAATAATGTCAATTTTTTGACACAACGTTGAATGAGTTCTCAGAAAACAATAAAAATAAGTAAAAGTTATTTTTGGCATTTCAAAATTAATGATAGATGGGCAATGATAAATTTTGCAAATTACCTCAGACTTTTCAGAGGATTGAGTGGCAAAGAGGTAGGGCAACGATAGGTCAAAAAGGCTTCTCTGATAGATTTCCTTGCCTTTTGGATATGCTATAATATATAGCCTAGCATGATAGGATATGATGTCAAAAGTTAGAACATAACTTAGGATCTTGAGAAAAATGAAAAACAAAAATTACATAAAAAAAGAAAAAATTTATCTAATTTGTTTTTTGGACCGAATAAGTAATTTTATTGAATTTCAATACGACACATAGATTTTATTATTAGTAATAAATATAATGGTTTACTATTAACAAGGAACCTAAACTAATGAAAATTTGATTTCAAATATTTTTTATGATTATCATAGATTACCAAAATATATTGCTATTTATGAGGATATAATATTGATTATTAGTAAATCGTATAAATTTAATAAATATACCATGAATATTGAATGAATTTCTTGATTCATAGGGGTAAAACGCGCTTTTATATGATTTAGACAGAGAATTTATGAGATGTCAATAACACAATAAAGGTTTATATTGAATATTTTCTAAAAATAAATCGAAATTATAAAAAACAATACATTTATTCATTGAAACTACTTGGACAAATATGAAACAAGCATTCAGGCAATACTTTTGAGACTTCAACGCATCTGATAATTTTTATATAACTTCACCTCTTATGCTTAGAGTGGAGGTATTGAGATCGTATAAGTATAGATGAGCTCACATTCAGATATGATGTGTGAACTTCTGTTTTCACTGCAATTTTGAATCAGAATAAACTCAAAACAAGAATAAAATGATATACTCACACTCTAAATGTGTTCGAGATTTAAAGTTGTATGAATAAAACGATTCATCTTTCGAAGCCTCCCATTTAATGAGAGACTTCGAAAGATGAATGTATTCATGTAGATGAAATACTATATATGATCATGTGTGATACTAAAGATATCAAAATGTTCATTTTTAAGTGCAATAGAAGGGTTATCTCTCGTAAAATCTCAATTTAAGGAAGATTTAGAAAGAACTCCTTTCCTAAGTAGATAGTGTGTGGTTTCTGTCTTTTGGTTGATCAGGAACTATGAAATTAAGTCGGACAGAAAGAAGTTCTTTCCAAAACAGACTCCAAATGAGTTGTTCGAAAAGAACTTCCTTCTGTATATGGATAATTGTAGTTACCGCACTGAAGTATGTGATTGTGATGATGGAGTTCTCGATAAATCTAAAATCGGATTAAGATTAATTGAAAACTCAAGTAATTCTTTGAAATCTTGTGTTGTCTGGCACTATAATAACCAAAGAATGAGAATATTATGTTGAATGATGAGTACGTGTGCTCGGCATTCGCCGAGCGAATTGAGTTTAACGTACTATGAAAAGTGACAAATTTGGGCTTTTTTTCCTAGGGTTATGATCTCTTCCTTTCTGCTCAATACGACAGAAATGAAAGAATGAATTTGTACTCCCTAATTGATTACTACAATCTGTATCTATCTTTAACATAGAATTAGCTGCATTGTGATTTATACTCCAGAATTATTCAATTTAAGATCAACCTCGTAAATTTTAATCATATTGCACCAATACTCCTACGTTGAGATAAGAACATGATTATACATACCAAAGCCCCATATTAAAAATCAAAATTTAGCACCTCCATTATGCAACCACATTATTCGTCGCAAATAAGTATATTTACGCATATTATGATGCATATTCACACAACTCGTATACATGAAAAGTTATTAAAATCAGACAAAATTATTGCAATAAGGAAAAAAAAACTTTATTATATATGTTAGTAATGAATTACAAATATTTCTACAAAGAATGCTCAATACTTCATATAATCTTCGAATATTTCTTATTACAAGTTAATACATTTTGACTCGAACATGATAAACAAAAGCTGACACGCTGATTACTACATTTATGAAAATATAGTACGTTTCCATTCATCTGTTTACTTGTTTTTTGTTGGAATAAAATCATTTTTTTTTTTTCATGAAATAAGAATTTTGCTGCGAAAGCAATATCTCTAACAATAATTAATACATTACGTCAACTCTGGAATGAGTATTTATCAAATATGATATCAAAATCAAAAATTAGTTGTTTTTTATGAGTAAAAACGATGTAAATTGATTATTTGACTAATTATCAAATACTTTGATTTTCCAAATTTTTTTCGAAATTGATTTTTTCATGTGAAAATTCAAATTGTTTAATTTCATTTTTGAAATTTTGAATTTTTTTTGGAATTTTGAGTTGATCAATTCAGCAGAATTGATAATGCTATTGCTTTAGGGCATACCACAAGGTGATGAATAAAAGGTGAACATTAACAAATTATTTTAAATCACAAATATCATCCTCATCAACTTTAATTCTAAAAAGAACTGTACTGAATTATGAAAATGCATGATTTACATTATTAAAATCTTTGAATGAAAATAGTACAAGATAAGTTTTTATTCATTTTTAATTAGATTTAAACGAAAAACTACTCCATATTAAAATTTAAGTCGAGAAATCGTATTTTGTTCTTATTTGTTAGCATTTTGTAGACATTCTAATCTTGAATTAATTTGTTACATGATATTATTAACAAATTTAACTGAAAAAATATGTTAATATGGAATAAACCATGATTATATAAGCTATCAATGCTATATATACATATGTAAAAGATTCATATTAACTCAATTAACAAAAATGATAGATTTTCATAAAGGTTCAATCTAGGTTCGTCCGAAAATTTTGATTTTTATATAGAAGACATAGTTTCATATACATAATTAAATTTTCAAACAAATTTGATCATACCATTTATTAAGCAGGATAGTATATTAATTACTATCAGTATAAAAATATAAAAATGATTATATTTAATTATTGCATAATTTAGTCAAAGAGTTATAAGCCTCAAGTGATCGTTATCACCTTCAATGCACGTATACTTTATTGATTCATAGATATTTAATCTATGTTTGACATGTTGTTGTCGTCATTCGTTTTGTTCCCATTCTTCCTAAGTTAGAATTAGAGAATACACCATCCACATCATCTAATTTGGTCCTCAGCGATAGATTGGTTCATTTTGGAGGAGTCCCATCAGACAGTTTTCGAGCACCAAATATCAAATTTTAATGTATACAAATCTTTAGTGATTTATCTCTTTTATGATGAGTAAAAGGTTTCTGCTCATCAACATTTGATTTCCGACATATATGATTTCTAATTGCAATTATTTACTTTCTTTTTATAATCTAACTCTGTGACTCATACCATAAATTAATTATTGGAAAGTGTCAATATGTTTGGCACAACGCATGGCGGAAGATACCAAACCATGCAGGGAATATGATACGTTTAAGATCTCCGAACTTTTTTTCCAAAAATTTTCTATCGTTGCCCTACCTCTAGTGGCAACTCAATCCTCTGAAATAGTCTGTGGTAATTTTTAGTCTCTACACTATTTCAATATAAGCTCCATTTTTAAACAGTTTTTAAAAATCGAGCATTGAAAAGTGTGATGAGACTTATTTTTTATTTATCAATTTTCTCAAACCGGCATATCGAATCTAATATTCTCTATTACATAATTAACATAATTTAGTTAAATCTAATTTTTACTACGCCCGTGAGTTGACAGTTTTAAGATGACCATTTTGTTAACTCAACATCAATGGCTGTTATCTTTCTCTACATATGGATCTATAAATTTCAATTATTCATCAGTTTTTATTAATTTTCAGAATATCAAATTAATTTTAGATGAATATTTGTTAAAAATTTACTTGGTGAGCTAATGCAGGGTAGTTGGTAGTTGTGTTATTAAAATTTTTGGCAAAATTTACACTTTTCCGACGTTTTGTCAGGGGCGCGAAGCGACACAAAAATGTCGGAAAAGTGTAATTCTCAGATATATGATTATTTTTGCTTTTAATACCGAACAGCATTTGAATCAAAAATAATCGTATGCCTGAGAATTATCTTTTATTGATAATTTTTAGTAGATTTACATCCACGAATGATTATATAAGTGTAATTACTATGTTCCAATCTTACGAGATCTATCATTCTCTTGTGGTTACTTAATTTCAAACTCAAGAAGTCTTGAATATATAATTTTTTTTTGTTGCTAGGCCTGCTCAAAAATAGAAACAGAGCCCCATACTTATTACAGTATTCTACCTGCTTCTAAAAGACTTATTACTCCTTACATAAAATTTGAAAATTTAGCTAAATCAATAGGCCACAGTTCAATATAAATATCCGAAATTATTGAATTCGAGGTAGTGTCATGTTTAATCATGATAATAAGCTAATTATGATGTTGATGTTATAATGACAGAAATTTTTTCAAAAATCAATGGAAAAAGTCATTCACCCCAAGCAATCAGATATACAAGTCGGAAAATTAGTTGGCTGTGGGCGATTCATTAACAGTGTATTCTTATTTAATCTTCCAGATAATGGGAGGAGGCAACTCGATAAATTATTACAAATTAAATCTTTACAACAAGATAAAGCTATCCATCCAGGCAGCTTGATTGGACCAAACAAAATGAATGCCAAGCAAATTCAACCAACCGACCCCAAGAAGACCAAAAAAGTTAGCAAATATGCGAAGCAAGTACTAAGTGAGTGGTTTCTCGCTCACGTCGATAATCCTTACGCAAATCGCGATGAAAGACATAAGATAAGCGTAGCAACAGGCCTTACCGATCATCAAATTAAAGTTTGGCTTACAAATGCCAGAATTAGAAAGAGAAGTCTAATACCAAACGGAATACCCCATTATTCTAGAGGCCCTCTTAGATCTGAAGATCCAAAAAAAGAAAATCCTCCGAAAACTGCTCCAAAAGCGTGATTTTTTGTTTAAGTTTATTATATTTTTGCTTGTTTAAATAAATGCTATTGTTACTTTCATCACATCAAATTTTGAGAACTTTTTCAGACTTTACAAAATTTTACAAATTTTACTTACTTGGGACTGAAGACTATAATGTCTTAGGAAGATACTTGGCGGATCGAATATCTAAAAAGTTGCCGTTTTCAAATTTTATATTAAAAAGTTTGTATTGCAAGCGATCAGTAAGAGATTTCGAAATCAAGAATTAACATAGCATTATTCTGGATTCTTTCAATTTGAAATGGATGATTGAACCATATCAAAGGGATCAAAAGGAGAAAGGGCTATTTCAATAAGTAATTCGTCAGCGATCTCTTTTCTTACATTGGGGAAAAGTAAAATTTATTTATCTAAAGTGCAAAATCGCGAGTTTTTTCAGAGGTTTCGGTGGTGCAGCCGGTTAGCACATTTGTCTTATAAGCAGATGGTCGCGGGTTCGAGCCCCCCGAAACACTTTTTTAATTTTTGTTTTTGTAATCCCACAATAAAAACTTAAAATAACTCATATTAAAGAAGCTAGAACGATTTTTTGTTTTTCATTACGTAATATTCACCAATAAGATTGAAGAGTTGTCAAGCATTTCTAACCAAAATTTGTTAATAAAACATTAGATGAGAATTGTATATTATCCGAAAATAAAAAACATTTATAACAAAAATACAAACAAAAGAGATTACTTTGTTGGCCTCCTTCTCTGTCTCAAAAATGGCATAACTTGTTTTGAGAGTGAGAAGCCAGAAGGAGATTCTTCCTTCTGGAAGCATGGTATAGATATATTGCCTTGCTTTAAAAGCGCGGTGATTGTCAATAAAGATCTAGTTAATTTCTTCTTTTCTTCACGAACTTTATATTTCTCTACCCTGATACCAGACATTGTTCTGTAGAGTCTTTCCGAAACTGATATTTCACAGTTGGAGGAAGGAACTCTTGGGTGTCTAGATTTATGAGGTAATCTGAGGTATTTGGAACCTTCTGCCTGAGCTTTGAGGTTTCCAAGAGAACTAGATAAGTTCATGGACTTTGTATTTAATGATAGCTGATTACTGTTTTCTAATTTATTATCTGATGATCCAAGTTGTCCGTCTTTTGCTGGAGAAGTGAATTTTGTAGAAAATCCAAGTGACATCTTGCCGCTAAGACCTGCGAATTTGCTTATCGCTTCCGGTGAAGCAGATTTTGTTTGAATAGGAAGAGATCTTGCTTCTTTAACTCCAATTGATGTAGACTTGCTTGTTACGAGGTGCTTAGCTCTTCTCTGTTGGTTCTTCTGGGAGTTCTTGTTGATAAGCTCTTGAATTTGATCTCGACTTGGTAATGGGGAAGAAATCAATGGAGAAAATCTGTTGTGAGACTTGTGGATGTCTGCCTTGATAGCGATCACCTCCTCCTTGATGCTGGCAAGGTCTGTGCCAGGGAAATAACAGTTGCCATTCTTGAAGAGACGATAGATCTTTCTGAAATCTGGTCTACGAGCTGGATTTTCAAGAGTGCAGCATTTGACGAGGGCTTGGAGGATTTTAGGGGCTGTGGATGGTATGAATTCTTGTGATGTGCGCGCGAGAACGGCGGCACCTTGTGCTGGGATATGTTCGTTATAAAGTTCTGATATAAGGGTTCCGAAGGAGTAAACATCAGAGGCTGAGGTTGGAACCCCACCTGTGAGTACCTCTGGAGCACACCAGTAGGGGTCATTAATTCTGTATTGGATCGGAACTTGTAATGCGAGTGCGATGGCGCCATAACCGAAATCTGATACGAGAGGACGCATATCGTCACCGAGCATAATATTCTTTGACTTGAGGTCTCCATGAATTATGTGCATTTTGTGTAATCTACGAAGAGCATAGGCAATTCCCATCGCAATTTTTGTTTTGTCTGTTGGGTTAAGTCTTCCACTTTTGATGGCCTCGTATAAATTTCCATTTGAAATATAATTTGTTGCAATAATTATGGGATTATTGAAGATGAATCCAATTGGTGGATTTAAATAGCGATTTGTGGCTCGCATAAGCAATATGTATTGGGAGAAAAGCTTGTTTAATTTCTCCTGGTCACTATCGGTGTAGTAAATCTGTTTTATAACGATGTTTCGATTAGTCACGGTATATTTCGAGATGTTTGAGTATCCGTAGTCTCCGGTCTCTAGCTTCTGTATTGGGATGGTGTCCTTTTTCAAAAAGCAATAAGGGGAAAACATTTCTCTAAATTCTCGGAGTGCAACTCCACGGGCTCTCATTTTAAAATTTTTAAAAACAAGGGTTGTTTTCGATACTCACAGAAATTTTGTGAAAGGAAGTAAAATAATTTTTTCTCAAATTTTACATATTTTTACGCCGTGAAAAAATCAATTACATAATTAATGATGAGTTCAAATATGGAATAATTTTAATTTTATTTATTGAATGGATCTATGTATACAAAATGAATCGCCGGACCACATAGCACTATATAGTATATCTAGTAAGAATATAAAGTTATTTCGAAAAAATGTAAATTTCAATAGGAAAATATTTTTTGTATTTTCAATCATATTATATCGTACTACAAATACTTAATTGCGCGGATAAATATAATTTCAATGTAAATCATTCAAACTCTAAATTCAAAAAACAGATTCAAAATTTTAGAATCAGTCGGAAATCATGTTTTCTTATTATTTTTCAAAAATGATAAATCACATTGAAAAAGTTAATTTTTAGAAATCATTTTAAATTGTATGTGTAATCATTTAATCCAAAAACTTGCAAAAATCCAATTTTGAAACATCACTCTCAATTTTTCATAAAGATTCTCTACGATATTGAGATCGATTTTGGACAAATCATCTGCTTCCCCAACGTTGGAAAATGAAAACTTTATTACTCTTTGAATACATCATTAACATTGCTTATTTTAATATGTTCATATAAATACGTTTTTTTTTTTTTTTTTTTCTCGTTACTTCGTCTCCTTTCAAACAAGACAAGATACTTTTTAATCATGATTAGTTACCTTAGATAAAATGGATTCGACTAATTCCATTTTTCTCGTTTTTCATTTTCTGCCAGCATTACAGTTTTGATAGCAATATAACAGATCTCATAATAGCATCTCAATAGTTCCAAGACTCATGCAAATATAATGATCAATCATCTCACCATAAGAATATTTTCAAAATTTTTCATTCATCCGATATGAGTCAGCTCAATGACTAAAATAATTCGTCCAAAACTATTATCTTATCCATTCGCACAGTTTTGGATCATATTTTAGAACCTTAAGATTGTGATTTTTTATTTCTCTGTTGAAAGCATTCAAATTAACCCGCATTATATCAACTAAAAGCCTGTAATGCGTTGCATATCTTTCTCATTTATCAATACATGTAACTCGATGACTGAGTTCAAATAATTATTTTTCCTAACTACACTTGATTTCATTTCTTTCTCTCAACACAACTACAAAAACTCCTACTAAACAATTATTTATAACCACAACAAACTTAGATCCTCAAATGATTTTCTTGTTCACTAACTCTTGATCGATTGATTCAAAATTCAGAGACATATTAACCTTCCTTTGATAGATTTTTAATTCTCTTATTTTAATATAATCAACCTTCTCTTTCTTAAATGTCAAAAATTTTTAACTCTTATTAGTTTTAAATAACAATCAAATCACATCGTGACCAATACGATTTCCCAATTGAATATAATTCAATTGTATTGAAAAAAAATTATATTGAAATAAAAATATTCAGTAAATAAATTTTTAGATAAATCTAAATAACTAAATGAATGCAGAATATTTGGGATAATAATTTAAAAACGTGACAGAATATTTTAATATGAAGGAGGCAGAAAGATATGGTCAAATGTCACACATGACAATTGAACATATGCCTAATACCCTCGGATTCAAATGGAAGTTTTTTCGTTTCTGCACAATTTTCAAAAATATTTCAATAAGGAAAACAACTTTCAGCGCATTTGCAACTTTTCTTCAGTTAGTTATTCCAACACTAGCTTGTATATATCCTCTTATCGGCGAAACTAAACAAAACACTACTGACGCCCCTAAATATGACTATACCTACTTTCCATATTCAAAAAAGTTTCAAGAATTTATACCTGGAAGTTTCTCTTTACTACCATTTAAAGTTTTGGCATTCCTTTTAGTATTTTTTCCACTTGTTGTTTTCATAATAACGTTTCGGAACCCAGATTTACTATTACATTTGCATTACTTCCTTTCACCGCAAATTATAACAATTTACTTTCCTTACGTATGCGCTGCTTATAGTTGTTCAATCATGTTGTATTTTTCTCACCAATTATCAACATTGGATACAATTTTTACTTTTTTGAACAATGTTTTGTTTTTCCTGTTCATATTTCTCTACATTGTTCTTACTTATATCGATAATAATTCGATAATTAATCCGAATAATGTTACCGGTGAATGGTTTGTTGGTTTTACGCCAATACTACCATTTTCTGAATTTATTATCATTTTCGTATCTCTACAGATGCAAAACATGACACAAGTTTATTATTATTGCGCATTAAGTGCTGAATTCATTATTTCTTTAATAGCGAACATCCTATGTGTAATTGAGATGCCTTTACTCAGTCCAACCTTAAATTCATTGATCGCTTCAAATTTTTTTACAATATTAACTTTAATTATTTTGGGGTTCGTTAAAATGAGTTTCAACCTCAATTTCGAATATTTCTACCTGATGTTCATCCCTTTTGTCTTCGTTATTTTGTTTTTCCTTTACAGATTATTTATCGAACACAAAAGAAGCTCAATTCAGCCATACTTAGACCAATTAGACACATTCAAAGACAACTATACAGTTCACGCTATTAGTACATCATTAGAATCATTGACAACAGAAAGACAACTAAGATTACTAATTTATGAAGGAATTACAGCAGGAAATCAGATCATTACATCAAAATCATTCGTTCAGTTTTGCTTGGAAAGGTTTCCAAGAAGCCAATGGATGGCTTCCTATATAAGTTTTCTTTGTTTATTATATTGGGAGACAAACACAATTATTTATCAGTTCATGCTTCATACATTAAGCTTAGATTACTTTGGAATGAGGAATCTTCACCTTTTTCAAGCAATTTTTTGTTTAATGCAGACATCAGAAAATTTATCACCAGTAATAGCTAGAGAACTTGATGAATATCGATGTGAAGTTGCGGAATTTGCATCATTACATCGTTTGTTCTGGAAATCAGTTCGAAATGGAAACGAATTAAGTTTTCATGATTCATTTTTCGCTTTGCATCGGAAAATAAATAGTTTAGCGCGACATGTAAAGATATTGTCAATGAAATATCCATATTGCTCATCAATACAGAGTGAAAACGCCTTATTTTTCGCAGATATCAAACATAATTATTCAAAATCCTCAGAATTTTACTCCCGAGCCGCTAAATTTTTGAATTCAAAACGATCATTTATTTTCGATGAAATGACTTCAAATTTTTCTCAATTATTTCTAATTCCGAAACAAGAACCAGATAAGACACGCAACGAAGATGACGCTAAAGCAATTGATGAATTAAGGTTTATATCAAATCTCGAATATCATGAGCGTGCATTGAGATATATGACTGTTGTATCATCGAATGACAAATATCTTCAAGCATTATCTCATACATTCAGCGTTCCTACGAACCAACAACCCGTAGATATCGTATTTGACAAATATCGAACGATTATAATCAAGATAACCTTCTATTTACCGATTGTTTTCTTTATAATTTTCGGTCTGATCATAATTCACTTTAATATCGTGAACGATTCCGATGCAGAAGATTATAAAGAAAGTACTTTGATTTTAGAAAGCATGAACCTTTTCAGGAACCAGATATACTTCATCAGACAAGATGCCAGATTGCTTGCCAACATTCTGCTTGATAATTTCAATGAAATTGTCAACAAATCAATTTATTACAATATTTCTGATAGTACATGGTATGATACAATGACCATTCTATACTTCCTATCAATGGAACATACGAGTGCTATCGAGGCCTTGTTCAATGAACAGTTTTATATCTTTTCAACAAGAAAAGTTCATCAAAATGTCAATTTTTCGATTCCTGGCTGTGATTCAACGAATTGCTCATTAGCTTATTTGTATTCTGATATGCATAATAGTATTAAGTACATGCTGAACCCTAAGGACCCTTATAGACTCACGAATACGACTTTGATTCAAAGATTAGATGATTTTAGTGAAAAACTCATGAATTTGACCGACAGTACACATGAACAGCTTGTACATAGTCATTATAATTGGATACAGGATACGATTCATAGAAATAAGACTGTTTATTGGCATCTTTTATTAGCAATTCTGATTTTGTCATCGATAACATTACTCGTTTACGTAATAAGTACCTTGACTCTTAAGAAACATGTTTATGCCGTAATTAAGACGATTCAGCCTGCAATGTTAAAATCTATTTCATCTCAATTCGATAAACTGATATCTCTTGAACAGAAACAGACACAAACTATTCAAGATCATACGTTCATCAAAGGAATCTTGTTTTTCATCGCTTCTTTTGCTATTTTGTTTGTTTATACAGTTTTGATGTTATTAGCTCAAAGATACTACAAGAATAATATCCAGCCAAGGATGACATACCTATATCCATTCCCAGAACCTAATGATTTTTCAGAATTTATTATTTTCATGGTCGGAATTTTGGAAGGAACGGCCAGATGGGGTATAGATCTTGATGTCATTAGTAAGGGAACACGTCTTTTACTAGAAATGTCCCTTATGACACCAGTTAGCTGCATATATCATCTTTATTTCAAAACTTGCTATAATTGTTATGCGAAAACTTTTTATTATGAGAAATTTGACTCCAGGAGCCTCTGGTGGCTTTCTTATATTACACTTTTTCTCTCATTATTATGTTTAATTGGTTTTCTCTACTATACTTACCAGATTATCTATTTGGGACGGACTGTTGAAGACATAATGAAGTTCGTTCCAACATCTGCGCGCAAATCTAACCCTGTTCTTCAAAAATTTATGGCAGGAGATCAAATTCCGATAAAAGAGATCTCAGATTTTGCCAGGGACATTGGGATAGCACCAGAAATGCCAGAATTCTTTGCTGTTCTGTATTTAGATCCATTGGAAAACGTAATACAGACAAAAGGCCAAATTTCCTCATTTCTTCCATTCATTCCCAACAATTTAGGGGAAGTCCAAGAATATTTAATCCGAAATTCGACGGACAGCGGCCTTTCCATTTCTAATTTCTTCAAATTAAAGTCCCCACTAGAATCCAGGAGTTTATCAATCAACGGACGCGAATTCTCATTCTCCTTTTCCAGGAAAGGCTCCATTCTCCTCATAAAAGATGATTCCCACCATCATCTATCGAATGACAGAACGAGAATGATCGAAAGATTACATTCAACAGTGAAAGAAAGGAAAGATCGAAGGAAAGGAATGAATCTGGGCCAAACAGTGCTTCTCATTATAGAAAGCAAAGGGAAAACAACACATAGCAATATAGTAAAGATGTTGGAACCAGTTACACAAGTCGTTGACACAAGATTTAGAAGAATTGTTTGTTTTTCTAATTTAGAAAAAGTGACAGATATCGTAAAAGTGACAACTGAAATTTTCAATAATTATGGCAACGAGATAAGAGGAGTTTTACACTGTGGAAACAGTTTGTCTGTGTTACAAAGTGCTGTTTCCATTGAGAAACCGAGAGTTTTTGGACAAGCTTATGATGAAGGAAGAATGATGCTTTCCAAAGCAAAAATAGGAGAATTAGTACAATCTGACCAGTTTTTGGCACTTCTTATTTAGATTATTTATTTATTTATTTTTTGTTTATTTTATATTTATTTTTTTATCATGTAATTATAAAGGAGTTCTATATAAATTTATTTAGTGATTTTAAATTCACTCAATGGATGGGTGATATAGTTCAGTTACAAGTTATAATTTGAGATTTTGACCAAGGATGATTCATCTCATTAATGGAGACATAAGAATTTCATAAATTTCATAAATATTGATTTATGGGTGCACTTACCACTTACCACTTTCTGACACATTCAGATAATATCATCATATCTTTAATTTAATGGCAAAAGAGTATGTTAGGAACTAAGCAGTGATAAATAATAACATTTCCCGACAAAAAATATTAACTTTTTATTATAGAAAATTGGGATATAAAGCTTAGATGTCGAAAAAATTTATAAATCTTTCGTTTGAATTCATTTTGTTGTTACTAACGAGGAGTTAATTTTAAGATCAGGAGTAACACGAGCGTGTATAATTTTGATAGTTTAAAGAAAATACTCAGTTTATTATAATATAAAAAACAAAATACAAAATAATAAAAATATAAAAAAATTATTTGAGTGATGCGACTTGGAATCTTGCGAGTGAAGAAGACAAAGGCTTCAATATTTCTAAGTTTGTTCCACTCAACTGCATTGGAATCTCCAAATCGACAGAATCCTGAATAGAGTTAGGAACAACTAAATAAGTCATCTGTTTTCCTTTACCTTTCAAAAAGACTTCTCCTCTTGGTTTGATGTTCAAATTCAGTGATGAAATCAACTCAAATGTTGACTGAGAAATCTGAACGTGGTTAGCAATATCAGTTGATTGGAGTCTTGATGCTATATTAATAGGATCGCCAATGATATCGAATACTGGTTTGTCCTTTCCGAGAACTCCTGCAATAATAGGACCTCCTGTATTTACGCCAACTCTTACACTCAAAGAAGAGTTAAGTTTCAAGTTGATTTCTTCAAGTTCTCCGATGACTTCTGTTGAGAACAGAACAATTTGTTCTGCATGTTTTTGAGGAGATAATTCAGGATTGAACAAACCTCCAGCTGCCATGTATATATCTCCAATCAATTTGATCTTCGTGAGCAGCTCAAATTTCGTCATAATTGTGTCTAAAGTGTTGAAATAAAAGCTCAAATTTGACATGATTTCTTGTGGAATCAAAGAGCTCGAATAATCAGAGAATTTAACAACATCAATGAAGACTATTGAAGCAGAAGGAACTGTGAAAGAAATGTCTTTTTCTCCTCTGTTTATCTGCAAAACAATGTCTCTTGGGAGAATCTGGTAAAGGAGCTTTTCTGAGTTTGCTTTTGCAAGTTCAGCTTGTTTTTGTTGTTCAATCAAAACTGTTTGATCTCTCAACAATAAAACAAATGACTTGATTTCAGAAGAATTTGGAGATTTCACGCCAATGATTGTCATTTTACATGGCATATATTGGCATGAATCAGTAACTGCTGTTACATCATCTTCAAAGAAAGGAGATGCCTGGCCTTTCAAGATCATCTCCATCTGTGTATGAACTTTGTTTTCATCATCTTGTACGAAGAAAACAGAAACAGATTGACCAAGTGTTTGTTCAGGAGTATATCCTAAAAGTGTTGTTGCTGCTGGATTAACGATTTCAACAATTCCATGAGAGTTTGTGAAGAATATTGCGTCTTGAGAATTATAAATAATGTTTCCTGAAACTGTCTTATTATCACTTGTTGATTCATTCGCATGCTTTAAGAATCTGTTACTGAACAATTTGTTGTTAACAAGACTGACAGGATTAATTCTCTTGAGAATGTAGAGACTTGTGTTATAAGTATCTCTTCTCAAATTGTAATAAACACTCACCAGAATTGCGAAAACAATAACTAAAACAAACAAAGGAATAATCAAAAGTGCGTTTGTCAAAACAAGTTTGTTATAAGTAACATCTGCAAGTTCTTTCAAACGTGTTGTGACTTTCAACATCTTTGGAGATAAATGATAACTCAATAAATGAACTGAATGTGCATAAGGAACTTTCGAAATTGCTGTTGATGTTGTAAATTCACGACTTGTTGTTGAAACGTAATCATAAAAAACTTTCAATTGAGAGTTAATTGAAGAGTTTTCATAGATCGAATGTATATCAAGATTTGAAGTATCATTAATTACATTATCCACGAAGTTCTCATTATCCAAAATAGAATCAAATCCATTGCATGCGGGAGAATCTTGAGTTCCTTGTATCAAATCATGATTTACTGACATCAATTCTTCTAAAAGTTCATCAACCATTTGTTGTGCAGCAGCAGGTGTAGAAACTCTAGTTGAATTAGGATTATCGAATTGAGCAACTCCGAAAGTTAATGTATTCATTACTTCTGCTGTTAAAGACAATCTCAATGTTGCGTATTGATCCCATTTATTGAGATTTACAATGTCTTTGTTTGAATTAAAAGATAACATCGTCATCGCAACAATAATAGCAACAAACATAAGACCAACAATGCATATAATTGCTATAAGAACACCCGATTCATTTGATGTAACACTCATCTCAGAAAGTGTTACATTTTCATCATTTTTAGTATTTACAGAAATTAATTCTTTTGCTTCAGTTTTCGTTTTTGTGTCGAAACTCTCTATAATTTGGGTGATTTCTCTCAAAGATCTGTTGATAAGGTAGTGAATTATTAATATAGGAATAAACGCGAGTAATGTTACAATTACAGGCAAAGTATATAAAATAAATTTGAACTTTTTCTGCAAATTTTCTCCTTCTCTAATCTGGAAATCGCAGAAATCAGTAAATATCTGTGGAACAGTCATATAAAACAGTCTTAAATTAACAATTAATTCACAGAATTGATGTAGAGTAAACATATCAGAAATATTATCATTAACTCTTGTAACAATATACGATTGATGTGCGAGTAAAATCGTAATCATTGTAGAAACAGTGTCATTAACAATATAAATGGGATATCCTCCATAGCAAGTATATAATTGATGCTTTGTTTGTATCAAGTTCTTAGAAATGTTGTAGACATCATATCCAGCATTTGCAAAATCAGCTAAATCATTCATCATTCCATCATATTCAGAAATTGCGCTTTGCAAATTGAAGAAACTTTGATACAAAAAGTCTTTGAAAGCATTAATCAAATAATCTTTTGAAGAACAGTTTGCGGCGAGTTGTCTCATTAATGTTTCATATTTTTCGTAACTTCCTTTGTCCACTGAATATCTCATTAGAATTTCCATATCATTAAGAGCAATGTAAAATCTAGTTTTCGAAATTCCATCCAATAATTCCATTGACATTGTTTGTTTCTTTATTTTAGAGCGGCTGAAAATAACAATGAAAATGGCCATTAAACAAATCAATAACAATACAATAATTGTTATAGGAATTAATGATGTTATTGACTTCGGAAGTTTGTTTTTCAAAGCATTATGTAAAGCAATTCTTGTCTTGTATTGGCTGATTGTTGATCTACCAACACTTTCCATGACATCGTCATCGAGTTCATCTGTTTTTTCTTTGTCAGAACCATCGGAATGCGATGTAAAGTTTGTTTCACTTTTTGACTTTTTGAATTTCTTTCCAAGCAAATTTCCTTTTGCATCGATAATTTGGTTCTTTATGTATACAGGGAAACATCTGATCATTGATCTCAGACAGTAATCAACTGAATAGTTCTTTCCCATCTCTATCATGTTGCTTTTATGTCTGGCATATATAGCATCAGGGTAATTCGATTCGGCTTCAACGAGATAACGTGAATATTCATCATAAAACTTCGCGTTATTTGGATATTCGTTCAATGCTTCTTGCCAAATTGCGTTTGTTCTGTTCGATCTTTTTGCAAGTTCTTCATAATATCCTGGTTTTAAGTCATGTGACTCCAAAGCACTTCTTGTGATGTATTCGACCTGAAGACTCGTGTTTCTGAGCTCATTAAGCTTCGAATTAGATTCGGCACTTGATGCTGAGTATTGTCTGATCGTTTTAATTTTGTAGATTTGGTAAATTAAGAATCTGGCTCCAATACTGAGATCTCTCCTTGACATAAGAAGACCTGTCATGCGGTTTAACATTGTTGTTTCGCCTGGAAAGAAGTTTACGATCTGAGTAAGATGTGATAAAAGATATGTCGAAGTATTTTCATCAAATAAGTACTCAATAAGTGAGAAATCTGTAAACAATGGGCATGCAAATTTGAATCCAAGCGTTAAAAGCATCAAAGCTTTTTTATCTGAATTTTTAATTTTTAATGAGTCAAAATATTCCTTTCTATCCGATATAATTGATTCATCTGTGACAGACAACTTCTTGATATAGTATTTTCTGTAGAAATGAAGGACAATTGGGCTGATTCCTGAAAAAAATAAATACGCTGCAAGAAGGAAAATGAAGCAAATAGAGTGTTTCATGGTTGGGAAGAAGTATGCAACAAACATCATGAAGTTTGAACAGATAATTGAGCAAAAAATTGCAAAAATAATCATATTTGAGAGGTGAACTACGTATAAAAGGTTCATTAAGTGAGGAATTAAGTAACAGAGGAAACAGATATTGGCTATGATAGCAATTAGACATGCCCAATCTGCGAAGTATGACAAGATAAAAGTAGAGAGGTAAATTACTGTATCGACCATGGCAGCAATGTAGTTCATGAGTGGGTCAAACGCCATAAATGGCATATTTGTAATGAAAACACTTTTGCCGTACATATTCATTGAGACATAATGAAATCCAAGTTGATAGATTACATTAAAAACGCCAAGTATAATCGTGACTATTAAATATGCATCAACTTCATTTCGAATAAGCTTTTTGTAAGTTTCTCCAAGATTATATCCGGCCGGAAGAATTCCAATGAAAGCGATAAGAAGATATGGATGTAGAGGTAACAATAGGAACTTTTTAAACGATCTGTGCGTCTTATAATAGTGTATATTGAATATTATACAAATAACGGATAATACGTTCAATAAGAAGAAAACTGCTTCTTTGATACAAGCTTGCTGAGTGTCGTATGGATGGTTGATGAAAAGACATACTGCTTTTAGCCATTTGAAAATTTTTGTTTCTGTTTCGGTCATATTACTCTCCCAGAACTTAGTAAAGGGCCAGAGGCCAAGAAATAATGTTTGTAATCCCCATAATGTTGCACAAAGGTAATATAATAAAACGGGAATTGTATTATTTTGAAAAAGATGATAAAATAAAGGGAAAAGTGCATCTAAAAACCCTACTTTACCTTGAATTAGCTGCTGCCAAATACTGGATCCGTGCTCCAGTGATGCAGGGCCTTGGCTAGACATGGAAACAGAAGGATTCATCTAAAAAAGTTGCTCAAATAATGATTTTTTTTAGTAAAAAAATTTGAGGCAATTTGAATATTTTTAAAACGTACTTTTTGCAAACAAAATCTTAACTCGGATTTGAAAATAGATTTGGCTTGAATTATATTCCTCAATAAATTCGTTATTTTTTTAATAATTTTTTGAAATAAATTTTTTGAAAGGTAAAATATTTAACATATATAGTAGAACGCATTGGTTATAAAAATCAGAAATTTCAATTTAAACAATTGAAAGGGTGCCAAATATTTTATACTTTTGAAAATTTAAGAAATAACTTTATTAATGACAATGCAATTGGAATGATTCAGCCAATTTCCTCTGAATTTAGTTTTTTCAATAAACTCTTATTCGAATTCTATTTAAATAAATATATATATTTTTATTCTTTGTGATTTCCAATAAAATAGTTTTTGAATTCGGATCAACCTCAATAAAATATTTTTTTCATCTTAAGATATTTGCATACATATTCTATAACTATATAATTTTGATAATTTTCTCAAATATTCAAAACTCTCTCAAAGTGTTATAGACCGAAAATAGATTTTTTCGGTTTTCTCTTCAAATAATTGAAAGAATGATACTATTATAGGTTTATTATATTATATAGCATATAATCATGCTATAGCCGAAAATTATAAGTTTTGAGAAGATTGAATATAACACAAATAAATTTGAATGTAAGTTAAATTGCTTGTTGTTTTTAATAGCTATTTAATGAGAAATCCAATATTGCAAAATTCAAATTGAATGATTGAAAGAACAGAAAAAGTCATTCTTTTCAATTTCGAATATGTTTCATTGTATTTATAATTATATGGCAAATAAGATATTTAAACTTGATTTTTGAAGGAAAATTCACAAAATTGAATGAATTCAAATAATTTTTTATTCAAAAATAAACCAGTTATTTGAGTTTAATACTAATTATCTATTCAAACTACAAAGTTTGTAATTTAAAATATTTTGTGAGATCAGATTGAATTAATTCAAGGTTCTTTTCAATTAATATTCATGACCATATTACGCATTTTCGAACATTCTAAACGAAATATATAAAAATGGGAGACGAATGTTAAATTTGCTAGACATGGGGGAGTTGTCTGCAAAGTTTTAGCTCTTATCTCTAACAAAAATTAATTTTTAAAAAAATGACCGAATACGTTTCACAGCGAGAAAAAAATAAAAGGCAAGATAGAATTTTCTAGACATAAAGAAGTTGTTTACGCGAGTTTTAGCTCTTATCTCTAACAAAAAATTAATTTTTAAAAAAATGACCGAATACGTTTCACAGCGAGAAAAAAATAAAAGGCAAGATAGAATTTTCTAGACATAAAGAAGTTGTTTACCGAGTTTTAGCTCTTATCTCTAACAAAAAATTAATTTTTAAAAAAATGACCGAATACGTTTCACAGCGAGAAAAAAATAAAAGGCAAGATAGAATTTTCTAGACATAAAGAAGTTGTTTACCGAGTTTTAGCTCTTATCTCTAACAAAAAATTAATTTTTAAAAAAATGACCGAATACGTTTCACAGCGAGAAAAAAATAAAAGGCAAGATAGAATTTTCTAGACATAAAGAAGTTGTTTACCGAGTTTTAGCTCTTATCTCTAACAAAAAATTAATTTTAAAAAAAAGACCGAATACGTTTCACAGCGAGAAAAAAATAAAAGGCAAGATAGAATTTTCTAGACATAAAGAAGTTTTTACCGAGTTTTTAGCTCTTATCTCTAACAAAAAATTAATTTTTAAAAAAAAGACCGAATACGTTTCACAGCGAGAAAAAAAATAAAAGGCAAGATAGAATTTTCTAGACATAAAGAAGTTGTTTACCGAGTTTTAGCTCTTATCTCTAACAAAAAATTAATTTTTAAAAAAAAGACCGAATACGTTTCACAGCGAGAAAAAAATAAAAGGCAAGATAGAATTTTCTAGACATAAAGAAGTTGTTTACCGAGTTTTAGCTCTTATCTCTAACAAAAAATTAATTTTTAAAAAAAAGACCGAATACGTTTCACAGCGAGAAAAAATAAAAGGCAAGATAGAATTTTCTAGACATAAAGAATTGTTTACCGAGTTTTAGCTCTTATCTCTAACAAAAAATTAATTTTTAAAAAAATGACCGAATACGTTTCACAGCGAGAAAAAAATAAAAGGCAAGATAGAATTTTCTAGACATAAAGAAGTTGTTTACCGAGTTTTAGCTCTTATCTCTAACAAAAAATTAATTTTTAAAAAATGACCGAATACGTTTCACAGCGAGAAAAAAATAAAAGGCAAGATAGAATTTTCTAGACATAAAGAAGTTGTTTACCGAGTTTTAGCTCTTATCTCTAACAAAAAATTAATTTTTAAAAAAAATGACCGAATACGTTTCACAGCGAGAAAAAAATAAAAGGCAAGAATAGAATTTCTAGACATAAAGAAGTTGTTTACCGAGTTTTTAGCTCTTATCTCTAACAAAAAAATTAATTTTTAAAAAAATGACCGAATACGTTTCACAGCGAGAAAAAAATAAAAAGCAAGATAGAATTTTCTAGACATAAAGAAGTTGTTTACCGAGTTTTAGCTCTTATCTCTAACAAAAAAATTTTTAAAAAAATGACCGAATACGTTTCACAGCGAGAAAAAAATAAAAGGCAAGATAGAATTTTCTAGACATAAAGAAGTTGTTTACCGAGTTTTAGCTCTTATCTCTAACAAAAAATTAATTTTTAAAAAAATGACCGAATACGTTTCACAGCGAGAAAAAAAATAAAAGGCAAGATAGAATTTTCTAGACATAAAGAAGTTGTTTACCGAGTTTTAGCTCTTATCTCTAACAAAAAATTAATTTTTAAAAAAATGACCGAATACGTTTCACAGCGAGAAAAAAAAAAAGGCAAGATAGAATTTTCTAGACATAAAGAAGTTGTTTACCGAGTTTTAGCTCTTATCTCTAACAAAAAATTAATTTTTAAAAAATGACCGAATACGTTTCACAGCGAGAAAAAAATAAAAGGCAAGATAGAATTTTCTAGACATAAAGAAGTTGTTTACCGAGTTTTAGCTCTTATCTCTAACAAAAAATTAATTTTTAAAAAAATGACCGAATACGTTTCACAGCGAGAAAAAAATAAAAGGCAAGATAGAATTTTCTAGACATAAAGAAGTTGTGTTTACCGAGTTTTAGCTCTTATCTCTAACAAAAAATTAATTTTTTAAAAAAATGACCGAATACGTTTCACAGCGAGAAAAAAATAAAAGGCAAGATAGAATTTTCTAGACATAAAGAAGTTGTTTACCGAGTTTTAGCTCTTATCTCTAACAAAAAATTAATTTTTAAAAAAATGACCGAATACGTTTCACAGCGAGAAAAAAAGAAAAAGCAAGATAGAATTTTCTAGACATAAAGAAGTTGTTTACCGAGTTTTAGCTCTTATCTCTAACAAAAAATTAATTTTTAAAAAAATGACCGAATACGTTTCACAGCGAGAAAAAAAATAAAAGGCAAGATAGAATTTTCTAGACATAAAGAAGTTGTTTACCGAGTTTTAGCTCTTATTCTAACAAAAAATTAATTTTTAAAAAAATGACCGAATACGTTTCACAGCGAGAAAAAAATAAAAGGCAAGATAGAATTTTCTAGACATAAAGAAGTTGTTTACCGAGTTTTAGCTCTTATCTCTAACAAAAAATTATTATTTTAAAAAAATGACCGAATACGTTTCACAGCGAGAAAAAAATAAAGGCAAGATAGAATTTTCTAGACATAAAGAAGTTGTTTACCGAGTTTTAGCTCTTATCTCTAACAAAAAATTAATTTTTAAAAAAAAGACCGAATACGTTTCACAGCGAGAAAAAATAAAAGGCAAGATAGAATTTTCTAGACATAAAGAAGTTGTTTACCGAGTTTTAGCTCTTATCTCTAACAAAAAATTAATTTTTAAAAAAATGACCGAATACGTTTCACAGCGAGAAAAAAATAAAGGCAAGATAGAATTTTCTAGACATAAAGAAGTTGTTTACCGAGTTTTAGCTCTTATCTCTAACAAAAAATTAATTTTTAAAAAAAGACCGAATACGTTTCACAGCGAGAAAAAAATAAAAGGCAAGATAGAATTTTCTAGACATAAAGAAGTTGTTTACCGAGTTTTAGCTCTTATCTCTAACAAAAAATTAATTTTTAAAAAAATGACCGAATACGTTTCACAGCGAGAAAAAATAAAAGGCAAGATAGAATTTTCTAGACATAAAGAAGTTGTTTACGAGTTTTTAGCTCTTATCTCTAACAAAAAATTAATTTTTAAAAAAATGACCGAATACGTTTCACACAGCGAGAAAAAATAAAAGGCAAGATAGAATTTTCTAGACATAAAGAAGTTGTTTACGAGTTTTTAGCTCTTATCTCTAACAAAAAATTAATTTTTAAAAAAAATGACGAATACGTTTCACAGCGAGAAAAAAATAAAAGGCAAGATAGAATTTTCTAGACATAAAGAAGTTGTTTACCGAGTTTTAGCTCTTATCTCTAACAAAAAATTAATTTTTAAAAAAATGACCGAATACGTTTCACAGCGAGAAAAAAATAAAAGGCAAGATAGAATTTTTCTAGACATAAAGAAGTTGTTTACCGAGTTTTAGCTCTTATCTCTAACAAAAATTAATTTTTTAAAAAAATGACCGAATACGTTTCACAGCGAGAAAAAAATAAAAGGCAAGATAGAATTTTCTAGACATAAAGAAGTTGTTTACCGAGTTTTAGCTCTTATCTCTAACAAAAAATTAATTTTTAAAAAAATGACCGAATACGTTTCACAGCGAGAAAAAAATAAAAGGCAAGATAGAATTTTCTAGACATAAAGAAGTTGTTTACCGAGTTTTAGCTCTTATCTTCTAACAAAAAATTAATTTTTAAAAAAATGACCGAATACGTTTCACAGCGAGAAAAAAATAAAAGGCAAGATAGAATTTTCTAGACATAAAGAAGTTGTTTT